CCGTGCAACGTGAGTTGACATTGCAGCAGGGGTGCGAAACTTACTTTAATAAGAACGGCGATAACAGCATAGAAAATAAAGAGCAAGAATATCCTAACATGCTAGCAGACGACGAGGAGCAGCAGATTTTCGAGCACTTAGCTAATTATTAGCTTGCCGTGTGCTGAGAGTGCCAGTACGCTGTGTGGCTAGACTAGATTGAGGGCTACTTGTAGAAACAACATAAGAAGTCGCTAAAGAGCGCGTAAGCTGTTAGTAATGCCGTCTGCTAGTAGCCTAGCTTGCTGCAGTACCCTAGTGAGTTGGAGATTCTAAGCAACGGCATTAACCTAATACCTCAGCTGCTAGTGTACGACGATGGTTTGCTGTGTCGACTCGGACTAGCGAGATGCTAGTACATCGCGCGGAGCAGAGAATCGCTTAGAAGGCACTAGCGCGAGGTCCACGAGTAGTTAGCTAGCAAGAAGCGCGGACGCCCCAGCTGGACCCGGGCAATGGCGTTACGGGCCTAACTCGAAGATAGCTGCGAGCGCGTATACTACCAACGATTGTTCGGCAGCCGGCACGGCTTACAGTACTTCGAGGTGCGTCCTACTCCAGACAGCGGCCCACAGCCCGTTCCTACTAAGGGCGAGGCAGCGTGGGCACAGGTGGGCGAAGAGATGGCTAAGACGTGGGCCAACGTCGAGAACCGGGCGAAGACAACGATCTAAGACGGGGAGAAGGATGAGGCGGCCCTATGGCTGGAGCGAACTGGGTGGCTGCCGTACTTGAACAAACTGGATCGTCCCGAATTGCTGGCGAGCATCGAGGAGCCCAACATAGACCTGGAGAAAGACGAGGAACCCGTCGAGGCTGCGATTTGGAACGCCATGGACTGACTGGCCCGCGTGAGCCAGGCGTCGGTCATCGAGCGGACGGGCATATTCGTGCGTATGGAGGCGATCCGGACAGAGAAGCATCAGACCAGGTACACGCCGCTGCAGGCGTACATGGACAACAAGTCGATCAAAGAGCGATCACGCCCGTGGAAGCAGATACTGATGTTTTTTGCACGGACGCAGAGGGAGCACCGTTGGAAGAGCCCCAAGTACCGCTTCACACAGCAGCAGCGCGAGGCGTGGGAGGCATTGATCGAGCAGGCAGAGAGAGACGTGGGCGGGGCAGAGATGGAGGTAGCGGACGAGGACCAGGACGAGGACGGGGAGGAAGAGGACGGGGAGGAGGACGAGATGATGATCGATGAGCTCGACGACGAGCAGGACCCGTCCGAGCGCGACAATGAGCCCGAGCACGCGAAGCTGAGGCCGATTGAAAAAGCGTGCTTGGATTTTTGCATGGCGCTGCTCAAACAGACCATCCGCCGCAAGGAGTACGACTGCGCGTTGGTGTGTGCGTTGGCTGTGCTCGGCGTCAAAGAGGACGGCTGGAAGGACGCTGAGCTGTACCCGCCGATATTGTCGTCGGTGATCAAAATCACCCGTTTCATGGTCGTACAACACGCACTGGAGCTGTCCGAGCCGTTTGAAGAGGAGTTGTTCGACGACGACAGCGCGTACGTGGGGAGCGACAGTGGCAGCAACTCCCCCAACCAGCATCGACCAAAAGGCTGCTTAGAGTTTGTGCAGCAGATGATGGACAGGTTTATGGTGCGAGGCAGCCACAGCCCAATGCAATGGATGCTAGACTTGCGTACGTACGGGCTGAAGGTGCATTTCAACACCACCGCGCGAGGGAACGTCGAGTGGATGGGTAGGGACGAGCTGCTGTACAAGAACGTACACTTCACCATGGCCCAGTTCCGCAGCATGGTGCACGGGATGCAAGCAGAGAGCAAGCGGTTGCTGGTTGAGGAGCTGTTGTTTTGCAATGGGCAGACCGCAGCGTCAGCCCCCCAGGTTCCGTGGGAGCAGCTGCGCGACAACCCGACCGACGACCGACCCGGGTGGAATTTTTTGCAGGACCAGCGCACCCGCATGCCCGTGGAGAGAGGTGGTTGTTCGAGCGGGTGGGGCAGGACGCCACGATGCGGGAGCGGTTCCTCAAGCCAGGCACCCGTTCCGGCATCGACAGGAACGAAGTGGAGCGGTACATGGACCGTGTGGTTGCGTTCCGGGAGAAGCTGCTCGCGCTCATGCACATGACGGCAGGACAGCCCGCGCGGGCGACGGAGATATTGAGCGTCCGACACAGCAACACGATCAAGGGCGGCCATCGCAACATATTCATCGAGGACGGCATGGTCGTGTTCGTCACACGGTACCACAAGGGGTACGCCGTCAGCGGCGACGTCAAGATCATTCATCCATACTTGCCGCGCGAGGTGGGCGAGCTGCTAGAGATACATGGCCAACTCGACCCAGCCCTCAGTCGAGTTAGGGTTTCATTTTAGTTAGGGACTAGATATACCATACTCGGCGTATTATTGAGCATGCGGGCTGGGTCGAGTATTGTTCGCAAGCCGGTCGAGTTAGGTTCCCGCAGGCTAATAGCTCCAAAATTTAGATATATTAATTAGAGCGCTAAGTTGCACGTTAACACGAGTTTGCAGCCCCGCAGCTGATGGGGTTGATGGTGTTAGGGTTTCGTGTTCGGAGGTTGGGGTTAGGGTTATGACGTCGCGATACCCCAGACCCCAGGGTTCGGAGTCGTTCCGAGATAGCGAGCAGCGACCGCCAACGCCAGATACGCGATTAGCTGCATCACGTATACAGGTAGGAAGACGCGTCCACAACGCGATATATAACGTAGAGTCTGCAATAACAGGTAGTCAATTTCAAAGAGTCGTTTCACGCCATATCGTGAGCTTAAATTGTCATTATAACCGTTGTACCACCATGGCAGAGAGCAACGTCGCAGGCGAGCATTTTGCGCATTTGGTCGAGTACGCGTTGGCAGTGTGCAGGGAGTGCCGACACGGCGTTTTGCCCAGCCAGATAAAAAGCCATGTGCAGCGCGCCCATCCCGCTAAGCGGAAGCAAGCGAAAGCCATAGCAGAAGAAGTTGGCAGTTGGGCTGTGTAAGCCCAGGGTACCTTGCATGGTCACGTGGATTATCCAGCGACCAATCAGCCCACTACTCTATGTATATAAGCTTAGATCACAGACCTCTCGGTGATGAAGAAGAATACACACAATCTACTTACAGTAGTACTGTACATAAGCGGCAACTGCGCTGCGCACCTGGTATTGCCAGCAATATTGCCGTATTAATTGTACTGTAGCATCCTAGCTCAGCTTACGAGACGGCCATAGCACGGCACTGTTAGTGATAAGGTTCATGGTCCCAACAGCGCTTGGCCTGCGACAACGTGCCTGGCGTTCCTCTGCTGTTCATGAGTCAGCCTCAGCTGCAGCCCGCCCACCTCAACACTCGCAGCCGCAAAATGCTAAAACCACGCAAGCCCTGATAACCTCCCTCCTGACGAAGAGAGTGGCGTATTCGGGCGCCCAAGGCCGGCATCAGTTCTATCAAGGCGCTCACAACAGGCCACACCTTTTACGCGAAGCTTGTCTGTTCATGTCACAACTTTAGCGCTAGCTGTAACGCTGACGCTAATGCACTAAGTCACTGACTAGAAGCGAGCGCTAGTAGCAAGTGGCGGCTAGTTCCGCACCCCCTACCTCGGACTGGCTCTAGCCGAACGGCTGAAGCGGATCGGCTTGCGCGTCCCGTTATGTAACCCCGCAGTTGGCTTTAACTGCGCGGGTAGTAGGGTTTATTACACTAACGCACCAAAGCAACAATTAGGCTGAAGGTGTTCGTAGTGCAGTACAATTGTAAAGACAATTTCTTAGATGGTGGGTGCTGTGACGGCAATGAACGCGCGAACGTATGTCCTCAATCGTGTGCCTACCCGCAAACTGCCTAATAGTGATACTAAAATTCGCTGACCGGTGTCATGAATTGCGTCGTTGGCGATGCATTGCTGATTAGGCAAGCTGACGTAGACTACAGAAAGCCCAAGCGTCGCAACGTGAGTTAACAGCGAGTGTGTCATCCAGACTATAGATACATTTAAGCTAAGAGCTTGTAGCTATGAGACCTAATGTCGCGTTCACTACAGTACTCGAACGCTTCTATTCTACTGTAGTGTCATAATATTCTGGCCCGCGCGCTATAAAAATGCACGAATAAATAAGCTTTTCTTTCTGTGCTAGTATTAGCTAGACATTAGTAGACGTTAATAGGAAGCACAGGCTTTATTACGATAGGCGCAGTGGATTGGGATTGCTGCAGCCAAGCACGCTAGCTGTAAGGCAGACTTCACGCGCAGAAGAGCGAACTGGTTGAGTAGAAGCTTGTATTCGGAGTAGAGAAAATAGCAGACGCAGAGCCTAGAAGAGGCAGAGCGTACGCGTACTTATATAGCCTAGAGAGAGAAGCGAAGCGAAGGCGTACTAGACCGTAGAAGGTCTAGTAGTTTAGGCCTTCGAAGGTCTAGTAGTTTAGGCCTTCGAAGGTCTAGTAGTTTAGGCCTTCGAAGGTCTAGTAGTTTGCGCCTTCGTAGTAAGACGTAGCCTTTTACTCCTTAGCTCTAAACCTCGTAGTAAGTAGTAGCTGAGGAGAGGCTATGTCCTTACATATGCCCCTCCCGTACAGAAAAGAAGGTAGCTAGTCCACTAGCTAGTAGTATCAACAGATAAGAAGAAAGAAGTCCTTAACCAAGTCCAAACTACTAGACTTGATCTTTACCCAAATCGCTATATGGTTTGTATGGGGCTGCGCATGTCTACACGGTTTCCCATGCAAAAAACTGACCTCCGAGCTGTTTTCCGCCACCTTAACCCCGGAACGCGAAAATCGAGCCGAACGGTGTTCCTACACTATATGGGGAAGGCGTCCTGTAAGGGAGCCGACCCAAGGAGGACTCCGATTCGGAGGCCGACTGCAGCCGTTGTTGACAACTGTGGTGAGACATGCATCCACAACGGCGAAGTTTGGCGGCTTGGGGCGACTTCGACGCACCTCCGCTATCGCGTACGTGGGCTTCAGAACTTTCACGCTAGGTTCTCGTCGCCGCTGGCATACTGATCTTGAAAGTCGCCGGCGTCTTCAGGGAGAGGGGTCCAATCGGGAGGCATGCGGAGTCCAGGGGGCGTAGGCTTACCGGGATGTTTCCAGTGAAAAAGTTTGGCATCATAATGGTCGAGGTAGTCGGCGGCGTCATGCCATGTGGCCTTGGGAAAGTCGGACCATTTGATCTTGTAAGCCCAGCGCCCTTTGACTTTGCTAGCTTTTGGAGAGGCGACGTCCACAAATTCGTCGACCAACCACTCCGTATGGGCATCGCCGTTACTATTGACCACTTCCACAGGCACTGGTCGAGCGGGAGCTTGATCGGGTAAGGCGTCGGTAGCCGCAGGCCGTAGAAGCTTCGGGTGGAAGATGGGGAATGTACCATTCCGAATCATCTCTTCGGGAAGATCCAGCTCGTAAGCGCGGCCGTCGTGAATGATTCTTTTGACGACATACGGCCCTGCCCAACGATCCGTGAGCTTCTTCGATTGTCGAGGGGTAGACCAGTTGACAGTAGAAATCCAGACCTCATTTCCAACGCTGTAAAGGGGAACCGCATGGCGTTTGGAATTAGCCTGAGCGCTCTGCTCCTGCTGGGCCCATCGGAGCTGCTCCTTCAGATGTGTGACCAAATCCGAATGCGAGTCCATCATTTCCTGAGCGCGTATGGCCTGATCGCGGGCTGGCCGTGGCAAGTTGGCTTCTATGTTTTCCGAAGGATGGATACCGCTACGGGGATGATAGCCAAGGTCGGCAAAGAACGGGGTCATACCCGTACTGGAGTTGACCGTATCATTGGCTTGAAACTCTGCCACATGTAGCCAGGACGCCCAATCGTCCTGAGCGTAGTTGATGAACTGGCGGAGATATGTTTCTAAGGACTGATTAGCGCGTTCGGTCTGGCCATCCGTTTCCGGGTGATACGCTGTAGAAAGAACCCGTTTAATATGAAGTCGTTGGCAGATGTGTTTCCAAAAGGGAGCGACGAAGTTAGTACCTCGATCGGAAACAATACTAAGGGGAAGCCCGTGGTGCTTAAAGACGTCCATGAAGCATCGGGCAGCTTCGACCGCGGTTCGCCCGTGGGTTGGATAGAAGTGGCGCCTCTTGGTAAGACGATCCACAATGACCAAAATATTTCGATATTCCCTGCCGTCCAGGCGCGAGGGGGGAAGGTCCTGGATGAAATCCACGGTCACATCTGACCAACGCTGGTGAGGAAGTGGCAGCGGTCGCAGGTAACCGTGTTTGCCGTCCCGTGGGGACTTGGTGCGGCGGCAGATACCGCAAGCGTCGCAATATTTGGCTATAGACTGGTTCATTTTAGGCCAGTAGTAGCGGTCGTACATAAGGTAGAGAGTAGAACGCGGACCCTTATGACCGGCAATTTCGTGGTCGTGGCACAGATCAAAGATCCGTCGTTGGAGGCGTGCATCCGCGGGGATATAGAGCCGGGTCTTATCGATGAACAAACGACGGCTTGCTCCGTCTCCTACTAAGGACAAGTCGGCTGCACTAAAATAGAACCCGTGCTTATGAAACCATTTAGACAACTTGACCTCGTGGGAATCAATGGCTGAAAAAGCGCGGGTAGCCATTTCGTCGCTTGCATACGCAGCGTTCAGGAGTTCCTCCGTGGACCGCGGATCCTCGTCATAGGGCGGAAGGGACGGGTCCACAACACCCTCGGGTGAAGGCAACTCGACGTCCTCTTCCTCTGGGTCGTTTGAGAAAGCCGTTCGTAACACACTGCGTTGTTCAGGCGTTATAACATCATCTGTCTTGCTAGAAGACAACGTGAGGGCGCGTAGAGCCGTATCGAGAGCCGGTTTCATTCCTGGTGACAGCACCTTAGGCCCCAGAATAATAGTTTTCTCCGCATGGCGCGGATCGTCTGGGTCGTCTGGGACGTCTTGAGGGCGGCGGCTGAGTGCATCGGCCTCGTCATTATCCGTTCCCGGGCCGTAGATGATCTTGAAGTTGAATTGAGATAGAAATATCGACCAGCGGGCTTGACGTCGGGTAAGCGTCTTAGTTGACATGAATGTTTCCAAGTTTTTGTGGTCGGTAACAACACTGATCGGGTGACCCGTGCCCATCAGTTCGGGTTCCCACTCCTCGAATGCCCGAATAATGCCCATCAGTTCCAGGTCGTAAATATCGTAATTGCACTCAGCGGAAGAGTGCTTCTTAGAAAAGAAAGCTATTGGCTGAAGCACGCCTTGGTCATTGTGTTGCTTCATGACGCCTCCGGTAGCCCAGGCTGAGGCATCCGTAAAGACATGAATGGGTTTAGAGGGGTCGAAATGCATCAAAACCAGGCCGTCCCGAAAGGCATCCTTGAGTGTGTCGAAGGCTGCCTGACATTCCGAGTCCCATTTGAGCGGATCGTACACGGTGCGTCCCTTGCCGCCCGGAGTTTTGTTGGGTACCACCTTGGCTTTAATCCGTTTGGTAAGGGGGAGGGCGATTGAGGAGTAGCCTTCAATGAACCGCCGGTAGAAGCCTGTGTAGCCGAGAAAAGCCAATAACTCCTTAGGGTGTTTAGGCGCTTCCCAGTCGCGAATGGCGGATACTTTGGCAGGGTCCATCTCCATGCCCTTGTCCGTGATGATCATTCCCAGAAACTTGACGCGAGTAGTGTGGAACTCCGATTTCTTAGGATCCACATAAAACCCTTGAGATTTCAGTTGAGAGAGCACAGCTTTGACGTGTGTGACATGTTCCTCCCGAGTAGTGGAATAGACCAAGACGTCGTCTAGGTAGGCGGTGCAGAACTGATCGAGATAGGGAAACAGTGCACTATTAATAGCGCGCTGAAAAGATGCGGGAGCATTGCACAAGCCGAAAGGCATGACTTTGTACTCGTAAGTCCCTTGGCGAGTAGTAAAAGCGGTTAGCCATTCAGATCCAGGTTTCATGCGAATGCGGTGAAAGGCATGGATGACGTCGAACTTTGAAAAGATCGTGGCCTTGTTAAGCTTCGCAAGCGTCTCGCGGAAGAAGGGTATAGGGTATCGATCCTTAACAGTGGCGTCGTTGAGATCTCGGAAATCCACACAAACCCGTAGGCCTCCGTCCGGTTTACCAATGATGAGCAGCGAGTTCCTCGCGGGCGACTTGGACGGGCCAATGAAATCTCTTGACTCCATGTCTCTGACATAAGCCGCAATGGCTTCTTCTTGCTGGCCTGAGAAGGGTCGTGGCCGATGATTGGGGATTTTGGCTCCTGGCTCGAGCTTGATCTCATGGTCGTGCTCCGAATGCTCCGGTAATTTAGACGCGGCCGCCTTGTCGAAGACGGGGATGAAATCAGAGTATTCCTGAAATAGTTCTGGCGTGAGAATGTCTTCAAGCGTGACATCGGGAGGCTTGTCCATGAACTTGGCGAAGTCCTCGTCGACTGCCGCGCGTCGGAGCCGCGGGGCTTTGCCCTGCTGGAGGGTCATGAGGCATGGGTCTGTTCGATATTTCCTAGCCATACGGCGTATAGCCTGAAGTGAAACCCTTTTGATCTCAACCTTTAGCGGGTCATGAGGTGAACCCCCAGGTGTCGCCTTAGTCTTGTCCGGGGGGGCCTTGTTGCGTTTGGGATCCCGGGGCAGTTGTGGAATATCTTTGTCCTGGAACTCGGCTTCCAGACTGCGAGAATCCGTATTCCGTCCGGCGGTACCACCAGGGTGGACGTCGGCAGGAGTTCGTGCTTCTGAATCGTGGTCCGCGTGAGGGCGTGGAGAGAGCTGGTCACAGTCCTTCTCCCTGCCTTTGCAAACGACTAGTGGGGAAGAGTCCTGAAGCCAGCAATTGAGCCTACAGTACTCATCTGGGAACGCAATCGTACCCTCGCGGTAGTCTAACTTGGGCTGGTGGAGTTGACGCCATTTGAACCCAAGGACTAAATCGAATGACCCACAGGTGTTTACCACGTAAGCCATAGAGCGCTCGACGTGAGTGTCCATTTTGAGGAAGAATTCCACACGATGGGTGATAGACTCAGAAGCCTTGCCATCGTAGCCCTCGCATATGACGGGTTGGACGAGGGGAATGGTCTGGAAGGTTTTCACCTGGCGTAGGAACTTTTCCGAGATAAAGTTGGAGTCTGCTCCGTCGTCGGCTAAGGTTCGACACCCATGCGGAACGGCGTAGGTGCGGCCAATGAAGGACTGAAAGGAGAATTGCGTAAGCCGTCGTGAGACAGGTAGAGCCTTTGATTCCCAGGCGGAGACGCGTCGGAGCAGCTGGGTCGATTCTCCTGGGGTGATACCCATGTAGGACGCGGCTAAGGCGTCTTGCCACGGCCTTGATTGAACTCCAGGGGGCGGCCGATCCCGAGGAGCTTTTAGTTTTCCGAGCTGTCGCCGGAAACCTCATCTCCTGAGTCGTATTCGTCGACTGACTCGTCGTCAAAGTCTTGATCCGGATAGGTAGAAATCTGACGTTGGGCCGTGGTGGGATCCTTAGATCCATCTGGCTTTTTGTTGACCGGACAGTCTCGAGCCATGTGCCCGACTCCGCCACAAGTAAAGCAAGTCTTACCATCGTCGGGTGTGGACTTAGCGCGGGGCTTCTTAGAAGCGTCGTCTGGTTTGGGGCGGCCCATCGTTCGCGGGGCTGACGAGGTTGGAGTCTTAACGTCTGCTGAAGAGGTGAAAGTCGAGGCGGTGTTAAGGCCCTGGCGATTCCGATTAGCTACTCGTGCGAGCCACGTAGAAAGTTGCGTCGAGTCGTAAGTTGCCATGTATTGCGTAATGTCGGCGAGCAACTTGGAGAACTGCGCCTGGTTCGTAGGCGAGGGTTTGAGCAACGTGAGGTTTTGCGTATGACGGTGAGGCAGCTTAGCCATAAGCTTAATGCCGCGTGACGGATACGGGATGCCGAGATTAGCCACGAATTGGCAGAATTGAACCTTAAAGGTAGCCCAGGCTTCCTTGTCCGTCTTCGCATCCTCTGGGACGCGGGGATAGGTGAGGTTAGTGAGTGCTTCTTCATTTGTGGCGTACGGGTTCAGGTCGCCCCAAATATCCCACAGCGCAAGGAAACACTCCATTTCCGTCTTGTACTGGCAGCTAAACTTCGTAGCACCGCCCGCCAAGACATCCCGAGCTTCTCCTGAAGTAAAGGAGAACAAAGACTGAACACGTTGGAGAGGGTGCTGGAAATTCTGTCCGTTAGCCGCCCAATACGAGTACATAGAACTAATGAACTCATGCAACGCCTTCGTGCCCTGCTTAAAAAGGCGTGGTTTAGGGGCATTGCGGTCTTCCGAATTGGCAAACTGCGGCATAAGATCGAGCAGGTTCTTAATCTCCTGAAGCCCTGGAGGAATGACGATAGCCTCCCCATTTACCACGATAAACGGGTCATCCTTGGTAGTAAATTCTGGTGAATTATAGGACATGTGTCCAAAATCAGGAAGACGAGTAGCGGCAGCTGGGTCGCCGCGGCGTAAGATCGAAACTGGGGGTGTAACCGTTGCGTATTCCGTGGCAGGATTAAACGGAGGGACTGGCGGATAAGACGCGGGGATGTCTGCCTGAGCCTGTTCTGTCTTATACAGAGCGTCACGTTGGGCTAAGTGCAGTTCATTCTGAACCGTGGTGAGCTTAGTTTGGAGTGCCGCATAGCGGTCCTTCCACTGCTGAGCCGCATTAGCCGCCTCATTGCGTTCCTTCCGTTCCTGAATAAAATGCTCTCGAAATTTGTTCTTGTCCGTATGCTCTCGAATCTTGAGACGGTGATTATCATAAAAGGCCATATAAAATCCCGAGGCTAGTCCCGCGAGAAGCTGTTGTGGCATACTATAGAAATCAGTGGGAAGCATTGTTGGAGGCAATTCCTCCATACAAGCCTTGAACCAGGTAGCGAGAGGTTCGTGAAAGGCTTGGACCTGCGTTTGAACCAGGCTCCGCATGTCCTTTCGCTTGTGGGGAGTGTCCGTAAACATGTCGTCTAGCCACGTGGGAGATTTCGAGGTGGGGTCTGTCACTGGCGGAACTCGACCGGCTAAATCGTCCGTGGGTCTAAGGTAGTTGTGTCTAAATCCCAGGCCCACCCGTGAGCTGCGGGTGGCGGAGAAACCCGGAACTGGCGCCGGGTCCCCAGGAAAGCCCATAGATACGCTTGGCGCGGGATCAGGAATGTCGTGATCGAATGGCGGCTGGGAAGACGTATCCTTTTCGCCCGACGGAATAACGAGCTCAGGGGGGACCTCCGTGGGATGGTCAGACTCCTCAGAGAGCAAGTCTTTAGGGGCTATCGTGGGCGCCGTCTTGACTGGATCCACCAAAGCGCCCCGAGACATCGAGCGAGTCGTGCGACGGGTGGGCGGCGAACGCTGTACCTGGCCGCTAGGCGCGAAAGCTGAGGCCGCGGGCGCCTTACGGGGGGCTTTCGGCCGTGAGCGCTTTCCTTCATTATCTTGATTGTCCATAGCGAGAAGTCAACTTTGAGGAAGGAAGTCTGTAATCGGTGGTTGAGTCGAGAGTGTATCGAAAGGTAGTGGTCGAAATAAATTTTGGTGCGCAGATTTATAAACTGCGGAGCGAGGAAAAACACTGTAGGCTGCAGCCTTCCATTGTCGTTCAAGGTGTAAGGCCACAACGCAGGCCGTGAAAGAGATTTCCGCCCTCGTGGCGTACTTTCCTCGACTCACTCCCGGCTGATGGCATTAGACGCCCCAATCCAAGCCCCTCGGGCGACGAACTAGGCTCTAACATGTCGTTGGTGGTAGGGCGAGCGTGGCAAAGGCCGTATACTCTAGGCTGTTGGTTAGCAGAAGGCTGTCCCGTAGCTAGCTATCCCTCTGGATAGGGTCTGAATCTGTACCTGCGCCAGCAGCAATAGTGCCTCCAAAAAAACCAGGTCTAGCCTGAATTTTTTGAGGTATTCTTGCTGTCCGAAGGCGCCAGACTCAGCAAAGAGCTAGCTACCAAAGCCGCAGTTCTGCGCAACAACCAAGAGCAAGTAAGCGCTACTTGCGTGGTCTAGGCTGGAAGCCTGCAGGAAGCTTTTAAGCTTGTTAGGTCTGCTATTATGTAAGGCAGACTTCACGCGCAGAAGAGCGAACTGGTTGAGTAGAAGCTTGTATTCGGAGTAGAGAAAATAGCAGACGCAGAGCCTAGAAGAGGCAGAGCGTACGCGTACTTATATAGCCTAGAGAGAGAAGCGAAGCGAAGGCGTACTAGACCGTAGAAGGTCTAGTAGTTTAGGCCTTCGAAGGTCTAGTAGTTTAGGCCTTCGAAGGTCTAGTAGTTTAGGCCTTCGAAGGTCTAGTAGTTTGCGCCTTCGTAGTAAGACGTAGCCTTTTACTCCTTAGCTCTAAACCTCGTAGTAAGTAGTAGCTGAGGAGAGGCTATGTCCTTACACTAGCATGCGTATCGCAGGTTACATAGCGCCTTTGCTGATCTTGTGACTTACTAGATTGCAGGAGTGTGAGGAGTAGTTGGGCAGGCACTAAGATATCGGTATAGGCTTGTATTGAGACGAATCCTTGAGGAGCTATCAAGCCTCTCAGAGGGATGATATATACCTACGTCACGTGATTGTGGCTGGTGTGATCCGACGGTGCCCCGAAGGGTTCCCGGTGGCTCACCAGTCTGTGGCTGGAATCCTGTGGTGATGGAACATCGTGACAAGGAGACAGCTACTAGTACGTACAGCCGCTCGCCTCGCAACGCATTAGGCTAATGTACCCGCCTAGCCGCAAGCCGCGACATAGATTCGTCTTCTTCTCTATTGGTCTTGGCTAGCAGACGCCCCAAATCTGCTAATCCCCTTGTGCAGCTTCCGTCGTGTTAATGCAGGACGTTGCAGACTTTGTCTAAGTAAGTTATTATAAGTTATACTAAACATCTACTCTAGGTGTAGCTAAGAGCTTTCTAAGAATAGATATAATTATAAAAAGCATGTGACATTGTCGTTCCTATTTCCCTTGCGTGCGCCTTAGACTAATTAATGCGCTGCATCTTGCGCCTAATTACATGCCGGCCTTATCGCCGTCTGTCACGGTAACCACCGTGGTTCCCTTGACACTGAACGCGCTACAGAATCCGAGTGCTCCGCTAAGCACCCGAATTCTGCTGATTGGCCGGCCGGGCCTAGCGCCATGCGCACGGCCCCCATCGATAACTTCTCACCGCCTGTACATGCTAATTCTGTTTCCTTACGCAACGTCTTGTATTACACCAGATATCGTACGTAGCCACAATTAACGCTTCTAGTAAGCTCTTAAACACGTGCTCGTAGCATCTCGTGACATAAGCCCTAGAAAGGGTCATTATAGGCAATTATAGGGCATACTAACACCCTAGTGCCCTAGTAGGGGGGCACAATAGGGCATTCTAGGTTACTTACCTCTTAAGTACCCGCTTGACGCCCTGAAGCTCACGCTAAATCTTGGCCTCCTAAAGTAGGCGCTCATCTTCGGTGAGATCTCGAGTAACCTTATCCTCATCACTAATACTAGGAATCGTAACTTGACCTTCGCGAAGCTCCTTAACTAGAACCTTAATGGCGGCCAGGTCGACGAACTAGCTGTTAGGAGGCTAGAAAGGGTTAGAATGGCCCGTAATAATGCGGGCTGACCCCTTCTACGCTAAAAAGGCGCTATAATAGGGTAGAACGTGCTAAAAGGGGCCACTTACAGCAATACAGGGGCGATTTATTAGGAAACAGCACCCACACTCGAGGATCTAGACGGCACTAGGCAAACCGGGGATGTTGCGAAGACGTCCCTCGAAGTCGGCCCTGTTATGGTTGCTAAGGACAGGGAAACAGCAGCTATATTGACCTAGGCAAAGGAATTTACTAGCGACCCAGGAATAGAGGCAGCCGGTGCAGACCTAGAACAAAGACTAAGTGCTAGCACTAGGAAGATAGCTGTTGGAGGCCGCTAGCTTAGAGAAACTGGCTATAATGAGCCGTACTAGGCTGATATGGGGATAGTTAAGGCGAAGTAGGCGGATAGGGTCTGATAGGGCGTAAGAGGGCGCCCATGGGCTAGTTAGCCCCATTCTCACCCATATCGCACTAGAAGGGGCCATTTTGGGCCACCTTGGCGTTACCCTCCTCTTGCCTAGAATGGGGCAAAATACTTACAATTGACGGTCGAGGGGAGTGTGGAATAGGAAAGATGGTCCAGATCGGCCAGGAATACCTAAAAGCTTGGGCCTTCGCTTAGCTGGACCCTGAATCCTAGGTGAAGGTGGATATTCTGGAGTTTTTCGAGAATTCCTAAATCGGTCGGGGTGAAGGTGAAAACCACACCCGG